ATAATTAATTAATTAAGGCTTATATTGATTTATTTATAATATAAAATAACAAGATTCTGACAGTATATATTCTAGAATAAATTATATCGAAGTAATAATCAATTTCGTTATTGGAATCAAACAGAGAATATGTAATGATCATTAGATATCAATAAATCTTGATAACTAAAATATTCTCAAAAAAGATATTGAGTAGATTTAATTAACTTATGTTAAATACATTCAATGGAACTAAATTAAATAATTAAAGCTTAGAAATTCTATAAATTCATAAAAGAAGGGATTACATTAAAATGTAATATAATTAGTAGAAATAAAATTCAATCATAAATAAAATTATCCTATAATAAAATTGAAATCTCTTTTTGACAATATTTTAATTCCTATGATCATATTTTAGAATTATGCAATTATTTATATTAATCAAAAGTATTCAAGAATTAAGAATTGCTTAATAATTATTAAAAGTAAATATTAAAAAAAATTAATTGTGAATAAATGAGAAGATTCATCTATAAATAACTCTTGAGATAGATTTCCTCTAACATAATATATGTAAATTTCATCACATTTTAGATTTGTGAAAATGGATTTTATTATTCGAAATAAATTATTAGCCAACCCTTAAATTTATTTTCTAATTTACTAAAAAAATCATAGCCACTGTCGCATTCAACTTATTTTATTTATTGCAATATTTATCTTTCATTCCTTATATTTATTCATACTTATTACTTTCAAAACTGCTCTAACTCTTAATATTATATAATATTTTTAATTCTTTTTTCTTTACTTGTTTATTTTTACTATAATATCTATAGATAATTTGGTCATACTATTAAAATATAAGAGTATAATTAACTTTGTATTTCCATAATACATATGAAGAATCTTTATTTTAAATTGTGTTTTAAAATAATTGATACTTATTAATAGAGTAATAATTATTGATACTTTATTCAGATTCCTTTTTATACTGTAATAGTGAAACATTAAATATATATGCTTTTCAATTTAAGAAGTAAATATGAATAAAATTTTTAAGATCACATTTTCAAAACCCAAATAAATTAAAATTTTGAAGGTAATGGTTTTGGATATGACACAAAAAGAATTTTATTAATATTATTCTTTATTCTTATGTGTTTCTTAAAGAAACTCAGATTGATTACCATCTATTTAAATAATTACTTAAATTATTCATTATAATCATCAAATTATTGACATTTTGAACAATTATTTATCGCTTCTTCAAATCTCTCCATTTAATTTAATGCATAACCTATTAAAGATGAATATAAAAAGTTAATTACTTCTGTTATTATGCTAAATCATATCTAGCGCATAATTTCAATTGATTTACTATTATATTAAATTGCTTCTTCATCT